GAACAGATGCCTAAGTAACGGGGAAGTTGGATGATGATGGTATGAGGTTTGATTTCTATCAGGTTAGCTCAGTTGTTCGGGCCAGAGTTATTCCAACAGAAGTTAGAGAAGCTCTTTCTTAGCAGCCTCAACGACAGTGTATATAGTGTTAGGGAGGCCGTTATCGCTAATATACAGGTGAGTAGTACTAGTAGTAGTAGTAGTAGTAGTAGTAGTAGTAGTAGTAGTAGTAGTAGTAGTAGTAGTAGTAGCAACGAGGACAGTTTCCCGAGTTTTTGAAATTGAAACAATCCCAAAATGTGAGAAAGAATAGATGGTCATAGTCGAAACCGTTTCATAGATGTGTAGGAAAGAACGATTCAAAGCTGTGCCACTTCCTCGAGAGAAATCGAAATCCCGTAATTTTCCCAAGGAATGGGAAGCTCCTTAGTAGTAGAGTATTTATTTTTATCGATTTGTCGTTGTCAAGAATTAGTATGAGCGTAACATGTGTATAGATATAATGATAACTGATATCGACTAGAATATGTAAATATAATTTATAAAATTATAACATGGATTAACTTTTTATAAATTTTTTGATATTATAATATAAATGGTTTTTATTGAATACATTTCAACAAGTATATAAGGTTATATCATAGTACTATATATATGGTTGTAGATTTAGAAACAATGGAGTTTCACCATCCTAGTGATATGAAAAACACTAGTGAAAAACATATTTCACGACTACTGCATATCACCGCGAATAATATCGCGTTTTTCACAGAGTTTTATTACGCCACTTCGCGTAAAACGGGTCGTTGCGAAACTCCAATATATTAGATATTATCTCGATAAAATATATACCAATTATAGTAAATCGTAATATGGTTATACTCCATAGAATATATTATGATGCTGAGCAATGCTATTGATGGCGATTCTCGAAAGGTCGTTGTTCGTATATTATTGATTCATCTCAGCCGATATCTGAGGTCTTTGGAGCGGTGTGGACTGAGGACCATCTTTTGCCCAAGATCGTTGATCAATATAAGCAAGTTCAGGGACAAGGATATAGCGGGCGACTGACTACCTTACAAGCAGTAACATATTATTACTATTTTCAACTCATTGTGATTGGTGATCTCAGTTGCCTCGACTGACCTATGTGATGAGCTCAGAGCAAGTCGAGAAGCATATCATACCGGTGTTGGTTGAGGCTACTAAGGATCCAGTACCTAATGTTAGGTATGATGGGAAAAGGAAAGTGTCTTGAGTGATGGATGAGATCTTGCCAGGTTCGCGGCTTGCGAGTGTTTGATATGGATGCTGGAAAATCATAAACTGGAGAACCCTATGATGGTTACACAATCTTTGGAGCCTACTGTGAAGGACGTTTTGTTGAAAGAGCAGGATGCTGATGTGAAGTAAGAAATGCCCTTGCCGGGGATCGAACCGGGGATCGCCCTTTTGCTTACTTATAGGTATATTGCCCAAAAGGCTCTAGATGTCTGCATAAAGGTGACGTAGTGACTATGATATTACGAGTGGCATGATAGAGGAATCGTATATATGGCTACTGCTCTCTCTGTTTCTGACGTCTCTACTACTACTCGATATAAGCGGCACCATGACCGACGGCCAGACTGTATATATAATTTTCACAATTATTAAAGTCGCGAGTAGAAAGGATGTGTCATGAGCTGCAAGGAGGGCTGCCGTACGTCACTCGATGCCGGCTTATTAAGCGTGACTTAACAACTGTGTTGAGGGATTGCA